ACTGTATTTTGACCACCTATTTTCTACTTCCAGATAATCTTGGCACATTTGTATAACTTGATTCTGAAACACTCTTCTTCCTGAGCTTAACCCATCTCATTTTCACACCACTGAGATCTTAACCATCAAACAGATTACCTCTCTCCCACCTTTTCCTTTTGGTGACTAACTACCCTTTCTATATACCTAAAATCCCTGAAGTTTCAGTAGTTAACAAAAAAAACAGACATAGTTAAGTGGGTGGATGGGTGGTTGAATGGATGGATTGATAGGTAGGAAGAAAGGAAGAATATCCAACTTTTATAACACTTTGGCCTAGTCTGATGACTTTCCTTCTACATGAAACAAAACAGTAGTTTTGAATTTTAGGTTTTCCTGTAATGGTAAAATACTTTGCTGTGTATCATAGGTCTCTAAACCCTGGCCAATGCTGTTTAGCCTTTCTCTGTTGTTCTTCAGTCAGTCAGCTGAAGAGTCTTGTCAAGTCACCCTTTCCAGCTTTATTTTACTTTTGTCCTGTTACCACATTGGGATTTTGTGCTGCATTAGGACTCACAGATCCTCATTCCTCTACTTGTTCTGAGGTCTTCTAACTCATCCTATGTGCACAAACACATTAACCTTTAGCGTTGCTTTAATCAAGCAATTCTTTGGCAATAAAGTTTTTATTTATTTATTTATTTTTAATTGTTTTATTATTCACATGTGCATACAAGGCTTGGGTCATTTCTCCCCCCTGCCCCCACCCCCTCCCTTACCACCCACTCCACCCCCTCCCTCTCCCCACCCACCCCCTCAATACCCAGCAGAAACTATTTTGCCCTTATTTCTAATTTTGTTGAAGAGAGAATATAGGCAATAATAGGAATGAACAAGTGTTCCTTTTTAAATGGTGTCCTGTTGTGCCTCATGGAATTCACAGTTAACTTGTCATCAAAAGATGCCCCTCTATAACCTGGTCCAAATTTACCATTATAAACTTTCTAGCTTCCTTGATAACCTTCCTTAACAAAATTCCACTTCCAACAAAAATGGGCCTCCTAGCTTCGGCACTGCTCTGCCTCTAGCTTCCCTAAAGCTTCAGTTCCTGTTACTTAGTTCCAGTCCTTCTTCATGCACTATTCTACAGTTTTCCTCCCGTTTTCACTTTCTTCCTGTAGGGTCCTTCACTCCTCTCTTCATGGCTCATACCCCTTCATATCACTAAAGTTCAAATAATAGCTGTCCCAGGTCCAAGGATGATTTTGTCACCGAGAAAAGCCTGTCTTCCTTGAGGTTTCAGGAAAAATTGACCTTAGCCAATTTTCTGAGATCTACATTCTGACCTTAGATTTAAGATTTAAAAACTTAGTTTGGATGTGGTGGCTCCCGCCTGTAATCATAACTACTCAGGCGGCAGAGACTGTGAGCACCACGGTTCTAGGTTGGCCAGGCATAAATGTGAGTTCTTCTGTTCAAAAAGGTTTGATGTGTGGCTCAAGAAGTAGATGCCTGTCTAGCATGTACAAGGGTCCTGAGTTCAAACTAGTACCACAAAATAAAAAAATCCACATATTGACTGAGCTTGGAACACTGTCGGCTGACAAAAAAGTCATTTTACATTGCCATTTGTCAGGGCTCGGTGTCCCAAAAGATCTGTTTTCTAGCTGGCTCTTTGAAGCTATATGCAAAGTTGATAAAATCAGAATAAGAACTCCTATGATGTTTAAAATATACCTAGCTCAGATGCTATTATTAAACCAAGTATACCTGACTGGTATTCCAGGAAGATCAAGTTCATGCCTTTGGATGTCCATTCTCCCTTCTGGACAGTACTTAGATGAACATGGAACTGTTTGCATTGGTAATTATACTTTTTTTTTCCTCTGTATTACTAAGCAGCTGCCTTATTCTACTGAAATATCTACTTTGTGTATGTTACTCTCATTCATTTGGTGATTGTCACATCTTGTATGTCCCATCCTCTCTGCTAAAGGACTTTGTGTTCTAAGACTTAGAAGGAATTTTTATTTCTCTCATTAAAACATATAAGGAGGTGTCACACTATAGGCTCCAGGTACCGATGACACACATTAGAAGCAATTGTTCCCTTAGAGTAGTTTGGTTGTAATTTTATTGCAAGTGTCACATTTGTGACACTTGTTCTATGAGTGAATGTCTCTGTTCCTTGAGAACATGCAAACATTGCATCCAAACAAATATTTATTGAACATCTGATGTGTGTCACGAATACTTACCTCAGAAGCTAGGTATAACTGAACAAATACACTCCAGTTATGTAACGTTAATTATGGAAAACTCTGTCTAACCCAATAATTGCATTACATGGATTCAGAACGATCAGATATGTTTTAATCCAACACAGAGGTTTTAAGAGAAAGTCTTCATTAACTTTAAGATGATGTTCTAAGAACTTGCACTTTTAAGTCTTCTCTTCCCAATGGCCTCTTCCCATATTTGAATTAATTCTTTAATCATTTCTCATTTTACTACCATGCTTATATATATGATTAATGAAAACTGGTTCTATTACTGATTTAAAATAATAGTTATTATAGTACATTCATTTTCTCCATAATAAGTTTTCTTTTAAATATCACTAGTGAGAATAACCAATTACACATACAATTATAATGCAAAATTGAAAGGTTAAGAGCAAGCTATTAGGAAATTAAATAGAGAAATGCTTATTACTTTTAATGAATGGCTTCTGGCCACTTAAAAGAAAAACAAAAGTCTTTTGTCTTAGAAGTTGCCTTATGTATTCCCTCTGTGCCTTTGTCCTTACAGTGGTTGAAAAATACAGCCACAATCAAATTTATCTTAGTTTTTACTTTAAATTTTGATACCAAGTTATACAACATATGTCTATAAAATTAAATAAAATATCACAAATTTTAATATTTAATAATATTGATAATGGGTTATAGACATATTCAACTTTTCCATAGGTAAGTTTGACAACTTTAATAATAAAACTGAAAATGAAATTAAAAATCATACACCAATATGACATTTTGATGCATAACTTCATTCCCACTGATGTAATCCTACTCTATGTATACCTGTCTATATGTCTTGCAATATTAAATTACACTAGCATATTATCTTTGAAAAATTATTAACATGTCATGGTTTCCTGCTGAAGTCTATAATTAGTTTTGAGTGACTATCCAAGCTTCACTTTTTCCTATTTTTATGAGTGTTGCTAGAATTTAACTAAAATGTGGTCCTGACTCTTTGTAGCAGCACTTCTGAAAAGACTGGCATTCCTAGTTTGGTAATGATACAGCAAGAATCTTTATTTTTAATTAATTTATCTTAGCTGATACTAAAAAACACAAAAATGTTCAGACTAATGGGGTTACAAGTGATGGTTTTATACATTGAGCAATCAGCGTAAACATTTATCACTTCATTATTTTAGCTTCTTAAAGTGTAGAGCACGTAGTCCCTGTCTGTAGCCATCCTTCTATGAAATGCCATACCAGAAATTCCTCCTCCTAATCTAACTGCAACTTATCACTCATTGATCAACCTTCCAGGGTCCCCTCCTCCCTTCTACCTCCCTCCCAGCCCTTGACAACTGTTATTACTCTCAACTTTCGTGAGGTCAGTGTTTTAGGTTTCACATAGAGTGAAATCATCTGGTGCTTGGCTTTCCATGTTTGACTTACTTCACTTAACATAAGGATCTCTGGTTCCTTCCATATTGTTGCAAATGACATGACTTTATTTTTTAATGATTGAATAATATTCTGTTGTGTGATATATACTACATTTCCTTCTAGCCATTTATTAGTTTGTAGACTCTTAGGAGTTTTCTACTGCTTGGCTATTGTATTTATTTATTTTTGGTGGTATTGGGATTTGAACTCAGGGCTTCATGGCTGCATGACTGTTGTGAATAGTGCTGCAATAAACATGGCAGTGTGATGTCCTTTTGACAGACTGATTTCATTTCCTTTGTATACGTATCTGGTGGTGGGATTGCTGGATCATCGTGTAGATCTATTTTTAATTTTTTAAAAACCGCCATACTGTTTTTCGTAATGGCTGTACTAATTCACATTTCCACCCACATGTGCAAGAGTTTACCGTTCTCCACGTTCTCACCAGCACTTGTTATCTTTCATCTTTTTGATGATCGTGATTCTTGCTGGGGTGAGATGACACATCGTTGTGGTTTTGACTTGAATTCTTCTGATCATAAGTGACACAGCATTTTCCTTCCTGTACCCATTGACCACTTGTATTTCTTTTTTTTTTTTTTCTGAGAAATGGTTATTTAGTTTAATTTCCTGCTTTAAAAATCAGGTTATTTAATATTTTGCTAGTTAGTTTTTTAGTCCTTACATATTCTGGATGTCAACCTTTGTCAGGTGCATAGTTTGAAAATTTTTCTTCTGTTCTGTAGGTTGTTTCCTCACTTGCCTGCTTCCTTTGTTGATAAAAGCTTTTAGTTTGCTATAATGCCTTTTGCCTATATTTTCATTTTCCTATACATTCAGGGTTTTATCCAAAAAATTCTTGTACCCAAGCATTTACCCCGTGTTTCCTTCTGGACATTTCATTGTGTTGTATCTTACACTTAAATTTTTCATCCATTCCAGTTTAAATTTTGTAACTTTGTTTGGACAGAATCTGCTTTGATGCCCCTTCTTTTCCCTTCCAGATCTCAAACAGTGAAACCTCCACAGAATTCCCTCTGTGAGTCTGTGAGGTAGACTCTGATAACACAGCTAGATTATCCTGGTGTAAGACAGGAAGAGCAGTCTTGATCTTTCCATCACTGCTTCCTTTGTATACATCTCCTACCACCATGGAGATCAGTACACACAAGCTGGGGACAGAACAGGCTGTGTTTCAGCAAAAGTCACTTTGGTAGAAGAACTGAAACATGTAGGATGACTGAATTATTAAAATTGGTAAAAGGACTATGGTTCCTGTTTGCCATTTCATGTGGCCTTCTCCTTTTCATTCTTCATAATTCTTTTTAGGCTTTCTTGCTAGACAAAAAGTTATTTTCAAAAGCAGAGATTCCAACCTGCACAGAACTGATATGGAAGTTTGCTTAACTAGGACAAAGGTAAAAGAAAAATTCATTTCTATGTTAGTTAAGTAATTTGGAATGTGTGATATCATGCAAAGAATTTGGGGAAGAATTGCCATACATCCCTATAAATTAGCGCTGTTGTCATAGCACTGAGCAGACACTCCAGTTCATATCTCCTCTTGTCCTTTAGCATAACACCCTAGAATTTTTCCCCACTCTCAAGAAGTGGTAGCTGTTCAGATTTTCATAAGCTATGTACCTTTCAGTCTAATGTTAAAGAGTAGTGAGATCTAGTTATTTACAAATTCTAGATAATTTGGCTTATAGGTATCAAGTTTTGGTTGTAATATATAAATTAGTTTTGAATGCTAAGTTCCTAAGATATTTAGTGTGACTCAGTTCTCATGTTTTAGTGTATGAAAACAAAGCTCTCTAGTACAGCTAGAAATTCTTCCTACTCATTTAAACCAAGATAAGCAGGAGTGAAGAATAGTTATTGCAAGATAGAATTTTGGAACCTTGTACATGCAAAATCTTCTCTGGCTTAATTGATTTATTATATAGAGCACCATTTCAGTGACTTCTCCCCAAATCACTTAATTTGTGGCAGGCCAAACTGTTTGATATATAGTTACAGTTATTAATTCTTACTTAGGCTGCACAAAAATTAGGATCAAAGACACTTATTTGTCATATCAGCCTCTTTCTTTGTTTTTTTTTTTAAATCCATTTAGCACATTATTTTTGACAGGTTTTTACAGACTTAGAAATATATATCCTTTAAGTGATCATTTCCTTTTATTTCTATTACTCAATGCTTAAAAGTTTTCCAGTTGTGTTCAATTTTATTATGAATACAGTTATTATAAAGGTCCGTTAATCTTATTTTTTTTTTAAAAATGAACTCCTTATTAGTTTTTCTTCTGTTGGAAAAAAATATATCCTCCTGTCTCTATTCAGTTACCAAGGATGTCTGAACCCCTTCAAATGAAGCATAAATGGTACAGTGCTCCATTTTGAACATGATAATGACAGTGTTACTACAGAACATTAATCCACGGTACACCTACATTTCATTAAGCATCTAGGTTATACAAAAGCACACTGCTAATAGTTTTGTATCCTAATAGATTGCAAAGGGGAAATAACATAAGACTCACAAATAAAGAACTGAAACCTAATTCCAAGAAAAGGCAGGGACTCAATGTCAGCCTCAGGATGAACATTTTTCTATCAAATTTGTCATGAAGTTCCAGTTGTTTTCAATTTTCTTATCACTGGTTTTTACCACATTTGTTACAGGATTCCAGTGCATTTATAAATATGAGCATCACAACAAAAGTCATCAAGGAAGCTTCACAGTCCTTTCCAGTACTGTGACTCAGTAGAACTTAGATATTTTCAGTATCCTTGTGGCCATCCCACACATTTTCCTAATGCACTGTGCTGACCTGATGTTCTCTTTTTCAGAAGTTATGTGGCTCTGCTGATCAAATGTAAACATAAATCAGGTGTTCAAGATTCTCCGAGATGTACGTAAATCCTAACTACCTTTACCCATGCTCATAAGCGTGGTCATCCTGTGTACCTTTCACTAGCTCAGTGAACATTTGTTGAAATATTTCCACCATCTTTATTCTTGTCTTTGAATCTTTATGATGATAGTCTTCCTACTTAGATTGATGAAAAATAATCTTTGCTGTCACTTTAAGGCTTATCCTTGAAACTCTGTTGTCTGTTTCTTCTGTACCTACCTCCAACAAGCATGCACATACAGACTGAGGTTTTCCCTCACTGAGTTACTGTTACAGCATCTGCTTAACACCTGATTATGTTCTCTCTTGATTGGCATTAAATCGTGTCATGAATATGAACTTACCAATATTTATTGACAGTGTTTATATTATTTTAATTCAGAGTGAGCTCCAGTGTCTGGGCCACTTTAGAAAAATTTTGTACTAAACTGAGAAAGGTAAGTACAAGCCAATAACCTTAAGTCAGGTGTTCTGAAACTATTAAAAGATGTGAAATTTCACTCAAATCTTAAAAATGACCTGGGATATCTTTTTAAAAACCTTCTGTGATTTTTTTTGACAAATGCACCTATTTGTTAATATTTTCAATTTATAATGTAATAATAAAATCGTGTAGAATCAAGAGAAGAATTTAAGTAGAAGAGGGTAATCATGGTCGTTTAATGGGTATCACTTTATAGAGCTGGTTTCTGTATTAACATATGATCTGTTGATGTACCTTTGGAAAAGCTTTTTCTAATCAGCTAAAAGCCTTTTCTCTGATTATATAGTTACCATGGTTCTTTCTGTAGCCCAGTGTGACTTAAATAACTAGCTGCGCATGTAATAATTTGAGATCAGATTTGACATGCCTCATTTCTTCTTTACCCAGAATGTAACCCACCACAAAAAAGAGCTACTATATTTTATTCTTCCTTATTGGCACTGCTGAAACTTTCTGTAGATCTTAAATAACTGTCAACACATTGAGTGAGCATGCAAGAAAACAGTGGCCATGAGTAGCACCCGACTTGGTTACCTCAGCTAAACTGGTTGAAGATGTAGCATCTAGTCTCGTGGATCCTGATTGAGTGTAAAAAAGAAAGACGAAAACTGGCTGAGTGACTTCAGTTACATTTTGCAAACAAAACCTTTATGTATCCTTATAGTGTGTTTTTGCTTATTCCAAAGTCTAAAATTTATTACGTTTCTACCTGGTAAATTAAAAATGGATTCTTAGGTATAATGGTTAAAGATTACCAGTGTGGTATAGAATTGTTACTTTATTTTAAAAAATTCTTTCTGGTTAAAAAAAAAAAGTCAGTGTCAGATGGTGCTATACATACACTTTAGCAGTTATATTAGAATGAATGAATTTTTCTTTATCTTAGTGCCCCATCACACCTCTCACTAATGCATAAAAGACATTAAATTAAAAATTGTGGATGTGACTTGAATTCACATAGTGATGTTATGAAGAACATTGTCAAGACGTATGTGAGATTGTTTTCCTCAGCTTCTCTCTTCTTCTGTCACCTCATACCAATTCATAGGTAAGAAAGCTATGAGAGATGCCACTAGAAAGACACAAAGTGTTATTCCTATGGTCAGTCTAACTGAAGTACCTTTCACAGCTAGTTTGAAGAACTAACTGATCTAATTTGAACATGCTCCAGTATTTTGCTTAACCATTGTCTTAGAGCAAATGAAAATGATTTAATATTTCCCATGATTTGGTCAGTATCTAACATATTAAGTTATCCTGAGGTGTTGTGCTGTGTGCCTGTTCCCAGGTCATTCCACTTTGGACCAAGCTTTCTATCACCGCTTCCAGGACTACTCAACTCCTTGCAATTTAAGTAAACACATGAGAGAGATTTCTAAAGACCAGTTCCTTGTCCTTCTCCTCTCATAATCTTCTCTTAATAAAAGTTGGTTGCTGACTTTCAGTCATATCCTTGAAAGTGTCATGGCCTAGAACATGCAGCAAACTATTCCTTATATCCCCAACTGACTACCTCCTCTGTTTTTATCTGTGGCTTGATAAATCTGGTATCTGCTAGTATCAAATATTTCTGTCCTTTTAATTTTTAAAAATTTTGTGTTATGGAAAGTTTCAAAAGTAGAGATTACAGTTTATGGAAACAACCAGCTTCAACAATGATCAATTCATGACTCATTTTGTTCTGTCTGTTATAACGTGAAGCAAAAGTAAGGCAAAGAAATTTTCATCTGAAACCACATTAGCATGTATGTTGAAAGATAAGATGCATCTTAAACTTACCATTTGCAAAAATTCCTTTACATCTAGTTTTTCTTTAACCCCAGAAAGACCACCAATTCATTGATTTCATCCCCATGTCACTGACTCCTGCCTTCCCAACATCCTCTCCCCCTCTATATCCAACTTAAATCCCAGTCTGTCATTTCAGCCACTTCACCCTATGAACACCATCCATTCATTTGCCCTCCCTAGTTTGGGATACTCTCACGGCCAGGCAATTGCCATGGTTAAATTGAACTCCCTGCAGCTGAGCAAGATTGAGGAATAGAAAATTAGCACAATCATGTCAACTGGTCCCATATCCAGTTTATGGCCTTATGAGTCCTCAATGCTAACCAGCTATCATACCATATTTCTTTAGCTTATTTCCTTTTCTGACCTCTAGATGACTTTGTAATGCCCTTGTCCTTGACCTTCTAAAATGTCTTCCTGCATCCTCCCTCTCAGTTGAAGACCTTGCTTCCCACTACACTGAGAAAATCCATTCTCAAGAGAACTTTCGGGGTACCATCATCTCATCTGCTCTTGCCCTGGTTTCATGTTATAGACAACCCTTTCCTGGTTCTTACTGCCAGTGCTGTCATTTGTTTACTTCTGCACTGGATTTTATCCTTTGTTGCTACTCAAAGAGATGCTGGTGAGGAGAGATTCTCCCTTCCCACATCACCGCCTACCTTCTCTTGTATCATCAATTGTCACTGCTGTAGCAGAGAGAATACTGAATACTGTGGAATTTCAGGAGCATAAAGACATATTGTTATTTCTCTCACCTTAAAACAAACAAAATGATAATGAAGTACATCTTCTCTTTACCCAGCTTTACCTGTACTGCTGCTCTGTATCTCTGCTTCCTGCTATAGACAAAAGCAGTTGTCTACACCTGTTCAAGCCAGTGTCCACCCTCCCATTCTCTCTTCAATGCCTTCCAATAAGGCTTTCTCACCAAAGTACGTTAGACAACAGTAGGATTTGACCTTCCTTGATACACTGTCCTGCTTGGATTTCAGGATGTCGTCCTCTCTTTGTTTCCTCAGACTCCTTTGCTGGTGCTTTCTCTTGTATTAGATCTTTTAACACTGGACCATCCCAAGGCTCAGTCTTTGGTCTTCTTTTCTATTTATCCTCTCTTTCTTCCTGACTCACATTTTATTGCACTGGCAGTTCTCACTGGCCTTCCTGTTTCCAGCCTTGCTCTCATTCTTAAAGTCTGTTCTTAATACAGAACCAGAACAGTCCTTTTAAAACATAGACCTATTATTACTTCATCTGAAAACTCTCCTATTGCTTACAATCCTATTAAAAAACAAAAATAACCATCATCTCTGTAATGCCTTCAGCTTTCAAGGCACTATATTCCCCCATCCTTTGTCAATTCACTACCACGTCCTCTCTTCCTTCCTTCCTTCCTTCCTCCCTCCCTTTCTCCCTTCCTCCCTCCCTACTCTCCCTTCTTCCTTCCTTTGGTCTCTCTCTCTCTTTCTCTCCCTGTCTTGTGGCACTGGAGTTTGAACTCAGAACTTCACACTTGCTAGGCATAGACACTCTACCATTTGAGCCATACCCCAAACCCCTGTCTGTTCCTTGAATGTGCCACAGCAGAACCTTGGCTCCTCCCTGCCTGGAGCACTGTTCCCTGAGATGCCCATGTGGGTAACTTCTATTCTGTCAAAGAGGACATAGTCTCAAGGAGATTTGTTCCCAAACCCCCATCCCCCCTCTTCCTCTCAACTCCAGGATATCAAGACCTCCTTATCCTTCTCTTTTTCCCCAAAAACCCTTATCTGATAACTTACTGCATAATCTACTTTTTTTCCCTTTCTATCTGTGCCTTCCCTGGAGAATGTAAGCTTTACAAGATCAGGAATTTTGTTTCCATTTCTGTCGCATTGTAAATGGACGATAAACAGGTACATGGACAGCCAGTGAATTAAATGATTTCTGTTTCTTCAGCATTGCTTCATTCTCATTGCTTCTCAAAGTCCCCAATAGTTCTGGTTCCAACAATCAGAATAGACTCATTCCATTTTACAGGCCTCCTTGAGGGGGTGCTTTCTTTATAATATACTGACTTTTTTTGTCCACTTTTTCTTTTGTTGATAGTGTCTGATGAGCTAATTCTTGGCATATATGTTAAATTTTTTGGTTTTTAAGCTCTCTTATACCCTTCCTTTCTTCATCTTTCATCTTTTCTTATAGATGGTTCCATCTCAAAAAGATTTTTTTCTCTGTTCCAGTTATCCAAGACTTTATTCTTAAAAACAAATCCCTGAATTCTACATTTCCTTGAGAATATCTCCCAAGAAATACTATAAAACTGATTTCCACACTGTTTCCTATGTCTGCCATACATATAACTTTGCCATATGTAATTTGGATTTGCCCTTCACTAAAATTCTACTGAAATTCAGATTCCCTTTAACTTAAAGCTAATAGGAAAATTGCTTAGTGATACAAATAGGCATGTATATGGTTTTGCTCATTTTAAATGTATTTTATCTTATATTTTAGAACAGCATAAGTATTTGTGTATACATTTGTATATATTCGTATATTCAGTTCCTTTGTGTTTTCTTCAATTTTCACTGAAACTAAGCAATTTGTTAATCTTTCTCTATTACCTATTTTTTTTCACACTCCTAACAGGTGATTGCTTTAGTGATGGATATATTTACAGATGTGGACATTTTCAAAGAAATCGTGGAGGCTTCAACTAGAGGGATCTCTGTGTACATTTTGCTTGACGAGTCAAATTTCAACCATTTTCTAAATATGACTGAGAAACAGGGTTGTCAAATACAACGACTCAGGGTAAGAATTCTGTTTTTCCTCAAATATTTTGTGTACTCTTTTCATCTCAGTCAAGTTTAAGTCATGTTAGGGAGGACTGGTCCAAAAGCCAAGTATGTGAACATTGGAAGGTGGGATAGTATTGATTGGTCACAGGGTTCCCCTGTGCTTTCAGAATTGCCAGTCATGCACCTCTTCATGAAGGCTGTAGAATTGCCTGGGTGGTGACTCTGTGACTCAACAGGTGTTAATGTGCCAAAATCCTTCAGAGTGTTTTCAGCTATTTTTGTCTTGTGAAAGGAAGACAGATTATAATTTTAGTTAATTTTTCTTCATGTTAATACAATCCCAAAGGATTTCTCAGTGGAGTCCTAGTTGTCTTATGAAACCATTCTGTGCAGATGTAAAGATCTCCTGTTTAAGCGGTGCTAAAACAAGTGGTTGTTTTCTTTGAGTATTTAACTTGGGGTACGTTTTCTTTTCATGGATTTTTTAATGTGTTTTGAAAGTTTACTTCAAGTAAATATTTGTGATATTGAGGCTTTGTGTTGAAATATATTTTGCTTTTCAAGCTCTCTCCTTTCCAGACATAATTTTTGCTTTATATTTGCGTAAAATTCTAGAATATCCGAGTGCGGACAGTGAAAGGACAAGGTTATCTTTCAAAAACGGGGGCGAAGTTCCACGGAAAAATGGAACAGAAATTTTTGTTAGCTGACTGCCAGAAAGTAATGTACGGTTCTTACAGGTGAGAGCACTGTGTTCATTTTCAACGTTACCAATCATTTAATAACTTGTCACTTTAGCGTTTTCATAAACGGCCATACCTCAGTCTTAAAAATGAGGAAAGGACTTGGGGCATGCACACTGGGACATCAAACTTTGTTATGGCACTGCCTCTTACAGACGGTTTCATGTTCCTTAGACAAGTCTCAAGACCCAAAGCAAATCGTATCACTTTGATTTTCAGCGTCTTCATCCAGAAAATGAGGGGATTGACTAGGAACTAAAGTTCCCTACAGCTCTACTGAACTAAAAGTAGCTTTTCTCCTATGAAAACACGGGGTAACATGGACTTTAAAACAAGTGCTCGCAGAAATAGAAGCTGTCTGCCACATGGAATGTTTAGCCCATGGAATGAATTTTCTTGCTGTAGAATTATCCAGTACCTGGTCAAACTAGAACTGCAGCCCAGTCCAGATCAGACTGATTCAGGTGTGGACATTGCCCCATTTCTTATAAATCCCTGGCACCAGCTCTACAGGGAGGCCATGAAGACCGGCTGACGTAAACACTAGCAAACATCAGTGAAATCCAGATCGCTAAGGCAGCTTGGACTCCTTATTGGAGTCAGGGTGACCCCAGGAAGGCAGTGGATGTAAAGTGGGCAGGCGAGGGGAGGCATTTGGCTCTTTCCTTAGAATCTTAAGAAGTCATGGAAAGGAGGTGACACATGGAAGTGGATAGGCTTGAGCAGGGACCTTAAATTGGTCATACTTTTCCTTCACTTAACTGTACAATGAGCACTCTCAAAGAACTACCAAGTGCTTTTGTTGTGTCCGTGCTGCCCACACTCCAAATGGGAGCTATCATTTTAGAACTTTCTTTTAACTGTTAACTTTCTGCTATCATTCCCTTTAAGTTCAGGGACTTTTTGAAACTTTAATTTTTTTATTGTAAATGTTGTGTGGGGTTCCCAATGAAAACTTGTTAAGAGCAGAAATTACAACACGGCTTGAAATTAATGAGTCTTTTAAAAGCCTCATTATATGTGTGCAGATTGGGGGTTTTTCATTGAAATTTTAATTAAAATTGAGAGTTTTTTTGACTTATAAGATGGTGTTTCTTATTTAAGCTCAGCATAATTGGTGCTGTCTAGTTTATTGTTTAACTTGGCTTTATTATTGTCACTAGTGAATTCCCCTCAGTTTGTTTTGCTGTGACAAGGTGTTAATAGGTGATCCGTGTTGTGACGACTGTGCCTAAGCTACTTTAGATTGCTGTAGAGAAAAACAAACAGCAGGAACCAAAAAAGAAAAAATGAAATAAAACAACAAAAGTCTATCTATACCATAAGTTAGACGTGGAACTGGAAAAATTGGAATTCCTAGGAACTAGAAAGAACAATGCCTCAAAACTGTTTCTCTAACAAGTTATGGACTGTTATTTCAAGATCGTCATTATTATTATATTATTTTCTTTTTGGCAGTACTGAGTATAGAACTCAGGGCCTTGAGCTTGCTAGGCAAGTGTTCTACTACTTGAGCTATGCCTTAGTTCTGCTGTTTTTAGTTTATCAGATAGGGTCTCATGCCTTTGCCTAGGCCAGCCTAGAACTGTGACTCTCTTACCTCCACCTTCTGAGCAGTTGGGATTAAAGACGTATGCTACCACACCTGCTTGTTTTTAAGGTAATATCCCACTAAGTTTTTCCCAGACTAGACTTGAACTGTGATCCTCCAGTCTCTGCCTCCTGAGTAACTGGGATTACAGGGGTGGGCCACTATATCCAGCCCTCAAGTTCATTTTAAATATATTTCTTAAAAAATTAATGGTTGTCAGTCATTGTCATTTTTGTGTCTCCTGACTGATTTCATAGATTTTTCCTTTTGCTAGCAATGTTCTAATGGAATAATTGATGTAATAGTTATGGGTTAAAAACAGCCCTAGTCCCTCCTTCTTTAGTATTACCATTGTTTTCCTCCTGGGCGAGTTGAAAATTTCCATTTTTTGTTTGTTTGTTTGTTTGGCTTGTGGTGCTAAAGATCAAATTCAGGCCTTGTGCATGGGAGACAAATGCTCCACCGTTGAGCTACAACCCCAGCACTTCTTTTTTGAGAGAGTGAGAGAGAGGGTCTTGCTGTGGAGCTCAGGCTGGCTTTAAGCTATCTACTTAGCGCAGGTTGACCTTGAACTCCTTGCCCTCCTGCCTCCACTTTCTGAGAGCTGGAGGAACAGGCATGGCCACTACATGCAGTGGAAATGTCTTCTTAAATTCAAAATTCTTTGACATGGGATTTCACTGGGTTCTGAATTCTCAACACCGGGAAGTTCCAGAATTTTCATTTCCCACAGTCATTCTCCTCATGACAGGTGACATGATGATGGCTTTATTAGGAAAACACAAGAGTTCTGTCATAACATGATACTAACATCAGTGAGATAAAATACATACTTTTTATGTGTATAAATAATATCTTGAATTTGATAATCCCATTTGAAATTGTTATATGAAAATAGGCCAGACACTTAGTGAAGTGTTTTGAACAAATGGAGTTGAGAAAGAACTTTTATAAACTTCTGCCCATGTGTAGCTATCTCAAACAAACAAAACTGAAGAACAGGAGGACAAAACAGGTCCTGTCTGCGGGGTTGGTTCCAGCGGGAAGAGGGAGGTACACATGTATGAAAATGGAAACATGAGATCATTGAAACTATTCCATGAATGGAGGGAGGGAGATAAAGGAGAATGAGGGAGAGGTGAATTCAAGTATGAGATGTTAAAGAATTTTGCAAATGTCACAATGTAACCAGCACAACAGTAACAACCACAGAAACCTTCTGCCCCGCACAGTGGTTCACATCTTTAGTTCCAGCTATGTGGGAAGCAGAGATGGGGAGGATTGTGTTTTGAGACCAGCCATAGTCAAAAGCTAGTGAGATGTCATCTCAGCCAATAAGAAAAGGCTTCCAACAGAGTGACTGGGTGAGGTCCTGTCAGTTTAATAGATGGATCCCCAAATGGTGATATAAATTGCAATTTTGTCTGGGGCTATCCAGCGTTTCCCAAGGATAATCTCTTTCTCTGACATGTTGGTAGAAGGAGACAGAATTTGGAAGTGAGAGGATCTGACTATAGGAATTCCAGAAGCAGAATAGAAAAGGGATAGTTCCGGTTTTCAGCTTCATCCCATTCCTGAGCAAAGACTGATCACCTCTGCAGTGGTTTCTGCTGAAAGAAACCTTGGGTTTCCTGAAAATGCTGAGAGGAGTGCAGCATGGCAGAGAGGAGAAAAGAGCCTGGGGGCCCAGCTGTTCTCCACAGGAACTTCCAATTGCCTGCTTCTTTGTTTCTGTGGCTTTAATAACTGGCTTAGTCCATGTTATGCTCTTATCACTGAATACCATAGGCTGGATAATTTATAAAGAAAAGAAACTTAGTTCTTATACTTCTGGAAGCTTGAAGTCCAATATCAAGGGGCTTCAACTGATGAGAACCTTCTTGCTGGTGGGGATTATCCAGAGCCCTAAGACAGGGCAGAGAATAACATACCGTGAAGTTTGATACCCCAGGTCTCTCAAACTACTAATCCCATGGGGTTCTACCCTCATGAGCCCACCTAATCCTAATTACTTCTCCAAGGCTCTTCTTCCAAATGTCATTAACTTTAGGATTAAGTTTTCAGTTCATGAATACTGGAGGGCACATCCAGTCCATGTCCTAACCCTCCATTCACATTACCCTTTGTTTCTGCTATTGAAGCCATAAATTTTTTACTGTACCCAAATGGCCTGTTATCATTGGTACTCAATTTACGTTCCTTCTTCTGAGTCAGCTAGTACTCCTTCATTAGATTTTGCTCTTCAAAAAATGGGCTGATTTTTTTTTCCACCTACTACTTTTCCCTTTGCTGTCTTTTTAGCAGTATATAGGGTAGAAAAATAAATAAGCTTTCATCATAACACAGATTTAATTTAAGCTTTTTAAACCTTGAGCCAATGTAAGCATCTCTGCCCTTTCATCTTCTTTGACTTTGGAATAAGGATTCATTTACATTATCATGTCATCTTTCACAGCAAATATTGTCATGTATCTACAATGTCCCAAGCACCATTGTTCGCTCCTAGGAGCACAATCCTCAACAAGCTTTTCTCCCCCTGGGCTTAGAGAATTTTTAATTTAATGAACAGGGGTGGCAGAAGATTAACAAAGGGAAAACACAATGAAATATCAGATAAGAATGAGGGGTACCAAAGGGGGAAATTTGACCAGAGAAATGGGATAAAGTGATCAGATACGTACTTTGAAGAGAGTGGTCAAAAATCTCTAAAAAGAAGTCAGTCAGGGGCTCTCAGAGGTGGGGGGAAAAAAGTCTTGTAGAAGACATAGTAACTGCAAAAATCCTGGGGCAGATACTTGAGGGCAGAAAGAAGGATGGTGTGATAGGAGCATCTGAGGCAAGGGAGGGCTGTCACAGTAGACCCGGAAAAGCAGGTAGGTAAGGTGTTCTCTTAGGTGGTGTAAGGTGTTTGAATTTTATTTTAAATAAAATGGAAAGTCCTATGTAAGAGTGTGATATGATCTGATACACATTTTGAAAAGGCCACTTCTGTTGGTGTTTTAATTGAAAAATTAAAAGCTAGCACTAAAATTAGCTGATGATACCTCAGAATAGAGGAACGGCAGAGTAAGAGAGATTTGTGAAAAGTTTTAGACTCAGATGCAATAGGACTTATTTTTTCCAGTTAGTTCTGAGAGACAGTATTCAGAGATGACTGGTTTTATATATGGATCACCTGAAAAGATGTTTGGACAATTGACTTAAACAAGTAAAATTGAGAAGGAAACAAGTTTGGGGGAAAGTGTGTGGGATGAAAACTTAGGAATTTGGTGTGTCAGTTTGGTGAGGCCCGTTAAAGTTATAAGTAGAGGTTGGCCATTGATTCTTTATCTCTGCATTCCAGACTGTCCAATGTCCAGTGTACTGATGATACAGGTCTGATAGTCATTGTTTTACAGCTCTTACAAATCACCTAATATGACAGAGGAAAACCAGAATTCATCCACAAACCCTGAAGTATTTCCCATGTCTCCAGAACCTCAGATTTACTTATTGAATATATGTCATCAAATCTTACTATTACTTGAAATTTTATTATGATGTTATGATCTACCAAAGCAGGAACCTTTCTAAACTCCACAACTGGAGGATATTTTTATTCATAACCTATGGACTTCCTTCTGAATTGAAGATCTGATTTTCTGTTCTTTCTCCTGGCTCAACACTTTTTCATTCACCCAATTTCTACAGAAATTTGGATTCTTACCTTATTCTACTTTACTCTCCGTAGTAAACTCAATTCCTCACCTGTCAGGTATATCCTACAAAGAGCTACTAGAAAAACATAATTCCTCAAACATCTCTGTACTATAAGTTATCCAAATTTGGAAAGAAATCCAAACAATCAAATTTTCTGCTTTCCTTCCCAGCTCTCCTGAGTTAGTTCACAAACCCCTGATACAGCTTTATTACTCAGCTCGACATAACCTGCTTTCTGTGATTTGAAAGATGGCTATTCCTGCTTCCTTTCTTTTTCTATTTGTTTCTTCCTCACAAATTGTCTTCCTGCTTCTTCCATGTCTCAACTTCTAAGTATCTCATCTCTGTCAAAATTTTGCAAGACCATCACTTTCTCTGAGATTGTCAGATACCGTCAAATATTTATCCCTTACTCGATGTTGCTGACACTTTGTATTCGTAGCTTCAGTAGGATTGAAAATTTCTTGAGATATTCATTTTTTTGCATCATTTCTTTTTTTCTCGTTTTTATTAGCATATAATTTTTATACAGGGGGTAGATTGCAATATTTATATATGTGTTTACAATATATCTTGTTTAGATTTACCCCCTCCATCATTCTCTCTTCCCCCTCCCCACTTTAGAACAATTTCAGCAGGTTTCATCCTTCTATTTTCATATATGAATACAAAATACATCCATCATATTCACCTCACTTTCCTTCTCCTTATGCCCCTGCTACCTCCCACTCATACCCACCCCCAGAAAAGACCTATTTTACCCTCCTGCCCTTCATTTTTCTTAAAGTGTGTATTGATAGTCCAAGGGGGGGTTGCCTTTGTACTTCAGGCCTGTATACATTGTGTTTTAATCAAATTAACCCCCCCCTTACTTACTCATTCCCTATCACCTTGCTCCACTAATATTCAACAGCTTACAGTACAGTGTATTATGTTATATTCATATATACATGCACCATTTCTTTGTAGTCTCATGGCTCAGACACTCACATAAAAAATACCTAGCAAGTATTCTTTAAATATCCTGCATTCAGTAGGCGTAACAGACAAATTTAAACATGAGAATAACAAGATTCTCAGATTGTAAATTGATTGTTTGTGATATTTTACGTATTTTAAGTTATTATTCTGTACATTTAAAAACTATGTTTGCATTTGTTTCTCCTATACTAACCGTACAGTCCTTCAGTGTGGAGAGTGTCTCTATCTCATTGTTCTTTTGTACTAAGCCCCATTGAGTCATGTACATGATTTGATGCAAAGAATATTAGCAATTTATTTTCTTTCCAGCTCAGTGGATATCATTTACATTTTCAAAACAACAGATTTAAATTTTGATAGGAAATTTCAAGACAGCTATCACCTCTAAACTGTAGGGTAGTAATAAAACGTTCCATAAAGTACTGCAAAGTGATTAAAAACTTTAATTTCCTAGAAACTTATTCTAAAAGAAAGGATTCTTACTGGCATTTTGAATGGTCTAGTTAAGGAGTCTACAGTTACATCATGGGTACACTGAGTCGGGTGAAGTCTGGTTACTAGTGACTGAGGCAGCTGCCCCCCCAGTCCCCTCTTCGTGGCTCTCTGCACCCTAAGTTACACTGACTGAGGAAACCACTGAGGTAACAGTTGAACACATTGAGACTCTCAAGATATGTGGGTTGACACAGACCTATCTTGAGCTACAAAGGTTAGAACTACACGGTGTTACCACCATTGTGCTACCCACGTAAACACTCTGGACATGAGGAAAGTGTGGCTCAAGCCCATGTTGCAGCAGTTCTGCAGAGCCTGGCCTCTCCACGTTCCTCCAGCACTGGCTTTCCCACCCCATGCTAGGACTGTGAAACCTAATCCCATTTTTACCCCATAAAATCTTGGTAGGCAGCTGATATAAGCTGCAAAAGAAGCTTTTCTTTGGATTCCTGGAAAGAAGCATAAGACATTATGAACTGATTTAAGACCAGAAATGGCCTTGCTTTGTTACTTAAACTAAGAATATAAGGATAAAAAGATAAAGTATTGCTAGTGTATAAGGACTGAATATATTCTAAATTATAGCAGCCAAGATGAAAGCAAACACAAATACTGCTTTGTCAATATCAAATGATACATTTTAGTAGAATTGTATAATATCATTAACCTTTTAATTTACCAAAATTACAATTTTCACTTTTTAACTTGCTTTTTATTAGCATAAATTAATTGAACAAAGAGGGTTCATTGTAATATTTATAACATACATAGAATGTACTTTGATCAAATTACTCTTTCTTAACTCCCCATCCTCCTCCCCACTCCCTTTTAATAGTTCTTGGTGGGTCTCAACATGCTATTTTCATTATTTTTTCCAGCTACATGTGGTCTTTTGAAAAAGCTCACCTCAGCATGGTTCAGATGATCACAGGACAGCTTGTTGAGTCCTTTGATGAAGAATTCAGAACTCTCTATGCCAGGTCCTGCATCCCCAGTTCATTTGCTCAGGAAGAATCAGCCCGGGCGAAGCCTGGCAAAGCGCTCTGGGAGAATGGCATTTACCAGCGATCGGTTTCTTCACTAGCTTCTGTTTCCAGCCAAAGAAACCTTTTCGGTAGACAAGACAAAATTCATAAACTAGATTCTAGTTACTTCAAAAACAGAGGGATATATGCCCTAAATGAGCACGACAAATATGGCATAAGGAATCACGGGTACAAACCTCACTTTGTTCCGAATTTTAACGGTCCAAGTACAATCCGTCACTTTCAACCCAGTCAGGTGAATGACAATTGGAAAAGACATAGTTACGCTGGGGAGCAGTCAGAAACAGCGCCATACCTGCTTCTTAATAGGGCTCTGAATCGCCCCAGTAACCCACCTGCTAACTGGAAGAGGCCTTCAGATAGTCTCAGTGTGGCGTCCTCGTCTCGGGGAGCCCATCCCAGCCGACAAAACACACCTGCCCCAGGTTTCGCTGATCGACTTGCCCAGAGAAAGCCGACAAATCTTCCAGAAAGGAATTCAAACGTGCGCAGGTCTTTTAACGGAACAGATAACCACATTCGCTTTTTACAACAGCGAATGCCAACCCTTGAGCACACCACAAAGTCATTCCTGCGTAACTGGAGAATTGAATCTTATTTAAATGATAATTCAGAAGCCACGCCAGATTCAAATGGCTCGGCGTTAGGTGACCGATTTGAGGGCTACGAGAGTTCTGAGAATCTGAAAGCCAACGCGCTTTGTACTCACTCTCGGCTTCGTTCCTCTTTTGTGTTCAAACCAACTTTACCCGAGCAACAAGAAGTTAGCAGTTGTACAACTGGCTCCTCAAATTCAACTATCATTGGTTCCCAGGGAAGTGACACACCCAAAGAGGTCCCAGATACTCCTACAAGTGTACAGAATTTGACAGAAAAACCCTTGCCTGAATCAATGCCCAAGATCCCAACACAGTCAGTGGTACCAAAAATACACACCTTGCAGGTTCCTGAGAAACAACCAGCAGTCGTAAACCAAACTACGAATGGCCATACAGAATCAAGCAGCTATATTTATACAACCTTGTGTGTAAATAAGCAGACAGATAATCTGAAGAATCAGCAAAATGAGAATCTACTTAAAAGACGAAGTTTCCCATTCTTTGACCACTCAAAAGTCAATTTAGATCATGGAAATAGTAAGAATTATGTATATAGCACACTCACCAGGAATCGAATTAGACAACCAGAAAAACCAAAGGAGGACATGCTGAAAAGTTCTAAAAGTATGCATAACGTGACCCAAAACATGGAGGAGGAGGAAGAGGACATTATTAAGAGAGAACCTCCAAGTAGCACTGCCACCAAATCAATTTCCATTGCTGCTTTACTTGATGTTAATAAGGAGGAACCTAACAAAGAACTCACTCCCAAAAAGGAAGTGAAGGGTTCCCCAAGTTTTTTGAAAAAGGGATCCCAGAAGTTAAGGTCGTTACTTAGCCTGACCCCAGAAAAGAAAGAAAACCTATCTAAGAATAAAGCACCTGCATTTTATAGAATGTGTAGTAGCTCTGACACATTAGTTTCTGAGGGTGAAGAGAATCAAAAACCAAAGAAATCAGAGCCAAAAGTTGATTCATCTCCTAGAAGAAAGCGTTCTTCCTCATCAAACTCTCCAGGCAGCATCCATAAGAGTAAGGAAGATGTAGCAGTTAGCTCATCTCCTGGGATAAATTCTCCATCCGATGAAAGCAATAAAATAATACCTTCTTCAAGTCCAGTTGAAAGAAAGTTCTCAGAGGGAGCAGGAGATGCCTCTGCACCAAGATTTAACACCGAACAGATCCAATACCGAGATTCCAAGGAGATTAATACAGTTTGTGCGTCTGAAAGAAGACCTACCTCCTCTCCAAGGCCAAAGCCCAGTGAGCTTCTAAGGTCTCATTCAACCAACCAACGTGTTTATAGTCGTTTTGAGCCATTTTGCAAGATTGAGAGTTCTATTCAGCCACCAGGCAACATCCCACATACCACTGTAAACCGCCCAGAAGTAAAATCCACAACTGTGGGCAACAGTTACGGCAGGTCAAGCCCAGTACTTAACTACAACACAGGTGCCTATCACACATATCAACCAAACGAGAACAAATTTCGAGGAATAATGCAAAAGTTTGGAAACTTCATAAACAAAAACAAATGAAATAATATAATTTCAAGTAGCTGTTAAGATGTAAAGTGAATGTGACTGTAAATATGTGTCAAAAGAACACGGTGAGGAGTTATCATAGCATACCAGTAGGTTTCTATAGTAACAGAATTGTAGGTATTGATGCACAAGTTCACCTGTGTAGTGGTGTACAGTGAAGTTACTGTTCTATGTGATAAAATCAGTTGTGCTTAATCGTCCTATAAATGCATTGTCTTGGTAACCTCATGATTTTAAAATGGTAATGGTTAAAAAAAAAGGGCATAATTAATTTTTTTCTTCTAAGTGTCTAAGTAGAAACTTTAGGGAAGAGATCATAAGTGGATTTTAACATTCATTCTAAAGTGTCTTTTTTAAAAAGGATCATACTACTAATGGGAACTTTATGACATATCTTTATGGTGTTTTCATATCTTCAAAACTATAATAAAAGGGGAAAAGACTTTTTGTTTTTAATTAACTTTAAATTCTCCAAGATAACTTGCTATGTTACATTAATTTTTTTTTTCCTATGAAGCATTATACAACTGTTTGGGTGAGAAGAGTGTCATTTAAACTATGTAACTCATCACAGTTTTTGTTTTGCCAAAATATTTGCAAAGTGTCAGCTTCCTGTGGTACAATGCATTCATAACACTTCATTTTCTAATCTTTTAAAAACCATCTAGGACATGCTTCTATACAGTGTGGTCCCAAGGATTCCACGTTCCACTATGCCATCAACTACCCATCTTTGGTAGCCATTCCTTCCTTACTGCATATTTTTAGCAGGCCAGCAGGAATTTTAATATGCTACAGTGCTATATTATTTTCATAAAGGCACCATGCTGAAAATGAAAACTAAGCTAGGCTTTCCATTACTATATGACCTGGCTGGTTTTAAATCTTTCTATGTCTTTATTTAATGATAACATTCAGGTTATAAGATACATTTTTGCCATTCTTAGAGTAAGGAACTGAAAGCTTCTTATTCACTATAGAGACTTGACTTTGCACAAAGTATAGAATTCAGCAAGCAACAGGCCATGTGAGAAGACTGAAGTGCTTTTACAACACTTTAAGTGTACTATTTAACATCTTCTAAATTACTGTGTGTAGCAGAATATTATTGTTTTAAAAGACAAGATTCAGTCAAGTGTTAATATCTTTATCATGAAAACAATGATATTAAAATATCATCATTATAGTAATGTTCCTAGTATTTAAGCACCATGCAAAGAAATATGACAATATGGCAGTAGGGAAAAGAAAAGCTAACATTTATTGAGCACTTGACTATAGACCAGATCAGAGTCAGAAACTTAAGTTAGAATAACAGTGTTTTGTGGTGACATTATCCCGTTATTTATAGATGATTGAGCTGACAGTCACATCATTGAGACTCAGAGCAATGATGTTCCAAACTGCATCACTAATAAGTAATGGCTCTAAATTGTACATAACATCCTGTCACAATGCATTACCTCCATTATTTGCCCAAGACCTGACTTGCCTAGTTTGGTAGGATTAAAGAGTTTATTTCCTGACTCAATCATCATCAGCCAGGAAAGGTTTACTTGAATTTCACCAAACAAGGACACATCAGGTTTAAATTAACGATAGTGAATGAGATTAGGAGATTAAATGGATATTAAGTGTTCAATGTAATCTAGCATGGCCAGTTTTAATTGCCAAGCAGTCATTTTGATCTCCTTCTGGATGTCCTGTGACAAGGTAAGCAAGAGACAGGGAACCAGAAGTGACTTGTGACTTCTGCACTTCTGGAATAGAGAAGTCTGTTCTGTCAGAAATGGAGCTCAGTGTTAAATCCATCACTGCAGTAAATATTTACCATGTTTGTGAAGTTTCTCCTTTTGCAGAAGACAGAACTGAGCTCAGAGATGTTACATAGCTTCTCAAGAGTTGGCAGAAGTGGGGTATGAGCGCATACCCTGCATATTTAATACTATACATCACCATACCTTCCTGGCTTCTCCTCCCCTACTATTTTTTTGTTTTGTTTTGTTTTGTTTTGTTTGGCAGCACTGGGGCTTGAACTCAGGGCCTCATGCTTGCAAGGCAGGTGCTCTACCACTTGAGCGACTCCATCAGCCTCCTCTACTATTCTTGATGAACCTGCTTTGTAAGTAATTCCCATTCATTCTCTCTCTCTCTCTCTCTCTCCCTATCTCTCTCTCTCTCTCCATCCTCTTCCACTCTTTTATACACACACACACACACACACACACAATTTTTCTCTCTCTTCTTTTTCTCATTATAAACTACAGAAATACATCAGCAACAACTGTACAAAAATAGCATTTAATAACTCCAAATTGAGAATATATATATATATATACTCAATTTTACCTCATTCACAAAAATATAATAAAAGGAAATTCCCAATATTGAAATAGCATGGGATTGTATTGACTTGGAAACATGAGTACAATAAATTTGAAATTTTTCACACTCCATAGTAAATTAATATAACAATAAAGCTTTGAGAGAAAAGTTTCATAATAGGAAAGGCAGCCAGTTATATTCACAGAAATTTTTATTTAAAAATAAACTTTGGAAAGACCGGAGGCATGGTTCAAGTGGTAGAGCACCTTCATAGCAAACACAGGGCCTTGAGTTCTAACCCCAGAACTGCCAACAATAAATGAAAAAATGAATAATAAATGCCCTTTGGAATACATATATCTCCTTGTGCTCAGATGAGGGATTCAACTGCAGTAAGAGAAATACTAATTTTTATTTAGTTTAGAGCTATCTAGAAAGCATGTGATCTTCACAGGTTACTATTAGATTATCAAAAACATTCGAATTCAGCCTCAGTGGATGGAAAGGATATTCATTTTGCTCAGTGAAATTAACCTCAGTAATTCTGGAGCCTACTTCTTTACCCTCATTCCAAAGTCCAGAACTCACAGTTGACCAAGCTAGATTGACTTCAATTTCATCCAGAATTTGTTAATATCAGATTGGGACCCTTTTACAGCTTTGAGAACAGTGAACTAATTGTCAGGAGGCAGCTCTGTAACTGAAAGCCCTTCAGGGTGGTACAATGTAACTCAGCTGAAATGAAACAAAGACTAAAGTTTAATTATGTTTATTTATAAGCCAAAGTCTGTTACAATTTGTGTAGCAACTTCCATAATTTCTGGAAATACAGTTAGCTTACACAAAAACACTTTTAAATACTTTCAGAGCTCTTCCTCCTAGTGGAATTGGGCAATACAAGATGCTTTATTTCCCGGACAGGTAATTTGCACAACAGATTTATTCTCTGCCTTTCTTCTTTGTTTTCCTCCTATTTTTCCCTTGGAAATACCCAGATGTCAGAATCTGTACATAATAACTTTTCAGAGTTTCTGGGCTGAGGAACTCCCCAAAATAAGGCTGAGCAAACACATAGTACTTCAAAAAAATTAATCAGTATTTCAGATTTAAACAGATACTATCCAAGTGTGTAGATGTAATAATTTCAAGACATATGTTTTCTCTTTTTCTCCCCATATAGATATTGGTGGAAAGAATGTTACTGAGATGTACTTTGATATTAAAGTTTGGTAATGCATGTTTTGTTCTCTACATAATACATAACTTATAAACAGAAGCTCAAGAAAATGGGTACAATTTCAGAATAGTTCCAGATGGCTTCAGAGTAATGAGTGACCCTGTACTCTGATTCCACTTATGTTCCCCTGTTGTGATGGTTGGGATAAGCTATAGCTCAGACATGGTGTATTGAGGTTTGAGTATATGGTGTCCGTCTACACTTGGGGAAGCAAATGCATTGTTTAACCAAGGTGATGTCTAGTGTGATCTAAGTAAACAGTGAAAAAGGCTAAGTTCTGGATGCATTCAAGTCTAACTTTACTCAAGACCTATCTTTATTCAACTATTATTTCACAGATATTTGGACTTTGTTAATATCTGTTGATTCTAAATATGGCTTTAGATTAGGGATATAAAGCAGAATCATTGTTAATTACAATCACAATTTATTTGTGATGGAATAGAAAATATATCAACACTGAATTTGGTTTTAGAATATTTAAAACAAAAAAGATGAAATGATAAACCAAAGAGTCAACTTGTTAACTTTTTATATGTATAGGATGATACAAAGAAATATTCTTCCAAATTATTTTTTGTTTTTGATCAATAAATAATTTTATACAAAAATCAATATGTTGTAATTTTTTTATTCTAAGACCTTTGTTTCTGTATTCAAGTATACTTTTTCACTTACTGATTATAATCAGGAACCATATGTTTCTCACTACTTTCCATGAACTTTAAAATCTCTAAAACACTTTTATTTTGATTAGTAATTTTATTTCATCCAACAATTTGTTCTACTTGATATTCAGTGACAATGCTCTTCTACACAGTCATGTGCCTCATGGCAGTGAATTGATCACTAATGTACCATCTGAATGATAGTGGACCCAGAAGGTTACAATGGACCTGAAAACACCTATGATCTAGTATTTTTATTGTACCTTTTCTATTCTTACATGTGTCTTTATACACAAATACTTACATTGTGCTACGATTGCCCACAATATTCACTACAGTAATATGCTGTACAGATGTGTAGCTCAGGAGCAATGGGCTATCCCATATAACCTAGATAGATATATAGTAGGCCACACCATCTGGGTTTGTGTAAATTCACCTCGATTTTCCCACAATGACATCACTGAACTCCATTTCTCAGAGTGTATGCCGGTCATTGAGATTAGTAACTTTGCATTCATTCTCTTTATTTCCATTTCTACTCGAATAAAGTAGTGACTTAAACTTTTTACTCTAAAAATAGAGAATTTATTTCTTTAAGAAAATTTGGTTGCTGAATTTTATATAACTTGGTAACACTTAGTTTTGAGTAAAATTTCATAAAGGTGTGTTTTTATTATATCACTAAGTAAGCTATGATTAGGAAGCTATTTAATAATCAAAATTCCATAGGAAAAATAGTCTGACTATTGAAATACTGAATA